TTTAGGATAAGTGATAGATCAATCAGTTAACTGACTAGTGGGATAAATCTCTCCCAAGTCTAACTTTAGAAAAATGGATAAAGACATGAAATTAATGTTAGCTCCTAAATCTCATAAAATTTTTCCATAAAATTTTTCTTCAAGTGCCCAGGGTATAGTGATGCTACCAGGGTTTTTAAGCTTTTGAGGAAGCTTCTTTTGAATTATTGCAATACATTCTTCACTAAGTGCAACGGTCTTATAAGCTTTAAACTTCCTTATTTTGTTTAATGTATCTTTCATGAATTTGACATAACTTGACATTTGTTCCAAAGCTTTCACAAACTGAATAAAGTTTATAAGCTTCTTAAATATCTTAAAAATTTTTGAAAATTATTGATCAAGCTTTTGTTGTCTCAATCTTTAAAGAAAAGTAGGTAGTGATCTTTTTAAATCAATGTTAGTTGGAAAAATAGATTGTTCTGAGTCCTTAGAAATAGTTCCTTTATGTTCTTCGATCTCTCTCTCAACTTCAATAGCTTTTTGACTTCTAACTTTTAATTCCTTTCCACTCCGAAGTTGAACAACTTTAATTTGTTCTTTTTACATTCATTTGTTTTTCGGATTTACTTCAACATTACTAGAAAATGTTTCTTGTGATCTATTGCTAAGTGCGTTAGCAGTTTGTCTCAATTGATTCTCAATATTTCTTATTGCAGCACTTTGACTTTGCATTTGATTACCCATTTGCAAAACTACTTCTATAAACAAATTCTTTTTCTTAAATTGTTGGTTATTAAAGTCAGGATGATAAGAAGGTGGTTGATATTTAGAACTATCTTGATTGTTCCAGTTTCCTGTTGGGTTCGCTTGATTATTCCCTCGCTGTTGATTTCCACCATCATAATTGTTCCAATTAAAATTGGGGTGGTTTTTCCAACCTGAGTTATAAATGTTAGAATATAGGTTATTGGATTTATTAGCAACCGTATGTAACGTCTCTAATGATTAAAAATCATTCGAATGTCCTACTAAATTTTCTTCACTTGCTTGAGGTATTTGAGAAAAATTCATAACATAATTATCTAACTTCTTAGATATCGTAGCAACATGAGATACTAAGATGATAAAAGCATCATTATCATGAATACTAGCCACTCTTTTAGGGTTTACCCTTTCTGAGGGCCATTGAAAATTATTAGTGGTCATTTCTTCAATTAAGACATAAGCTTCATCAAAAGATTTTGACAGATTTTGACATTAAACCTCCAACAACATCATCAATTATAGATCTAAGAGATCCTATTAACTCATTATAAAATGTTTGAATAATTAACCAGTCAGGTAAAACATGATGTGGACACTTTCTAATGAGTTTCTTAAATCGTGCTCAAGCCTCATAAATTGACTCCTCTTCATACCGAATAAAACAAGTAATAATCATTTTTAAGCTTAGTAGTTTTTAAAGGAGGAAAGTATATAGCCAGGAATTTTTGTGTCATATATTCCCAAGTTTTAATAGATCCAGGTGCTGATGAGTTTAGCTCACGCATCGTTTGATACGCCATCATATTTGAATGTAGCACAAAATTCTAAAAAACTTGCAAGATGTAAATTTGGATCCTTAGTTGGCATTCCCCAAACTGATTATTTTGCTACATTTGTATTATTGCAAGTTTAAGTTCAAATAAGTTATCCGCTACAACAGAGATTTGAATACTTAAGTGAATTTCATCTGCCGCAGGGTTCGCATAATCCCTTGAATGTCTTTGTAAATTTTGATGTTCATTTTCATTAATTAAAGTTTCCATGTTATTTTGTGATTTGTTTGTCATTTCTTGAAAATTGTGAAGTTGTTTTTGCTTTTGAATTTTTCTTATGGTTTTTTCTAATTCAAAATCGTAGGGTACTAAACCTTCAGATCTCCAACTTCGCATAGAAAAGGTAAAATTTAGAAAATAGAATATTAAAGCAATTCAAATAAAATAAAATTATTTTTCGTCTTTTTTGGTTTTTGTAAATTTTTTTTTTTATTTTTTGGATTTATATTTTTTTTTTGTAATTTTCAATTTTTGTAATTTTTTTAAAATTTTAAGTAAAAACTAATTTTTTTAGTAATCCTACAATTCAAAAATAAAGTTTCAAAGAAAATTTTGAAAAAGATATTTTCTTTTTAAAGTTTTGTTTTTTCGTGTTCCCCGGCAATGACGCTAAAAACTTGACCCGACCCGCAATTATGCAGATATTTATGTTTCTTAATATGCCAAAAAGTTGACCCAAATTATATTTAGTAGCTAGTTAGAACAAATGTAATATGATGAAAATTAAAGAAATAGTTTTTACACTAGGGGTACTACGCAACTATACGTATTGTTTCAAATAATATATTTTTCTTTAAAAACCCCAGTATTGATTCTATAGGGAAAACGTAAATGAAAAACAATGAAAATGAAATTCAGGAATTTTAACTTTAAGAAAATATTACTTAAAACTGCAGTAAATATCTAAATATGAAAATTAAGTTTACTAACTTCTACAAAATACAAGTAAAACTAGATGAAATATTTTTAGAAAATGTGTATAAAGAGACTTTCTCCTTGCCAATAATTCATAATCAGTATAAGATTTCAAATTTTATTTAGAAGCTTAAACGTGGTATTGTGACAAATAGGAACATACATATTCTTTGTTTATTTCGATTGTGCAAAGAACATTGACTAATCTAAAGTTAGTGTCGGCATGTTTAGTAGTGTTGGGTGGGTTCTAGTCATCACTTATATATTACACACTGTTCTTTATCTATAGGACCTACCAGTGACCCTTAGTTTCAATTTCTAGATCAAATTGATAAAAAAAATCTAGTTTGTCACTCTATAAACATCAATTCTACGCTCATGAAATCTTATCTCTCGATCTATTTGCACCCTTCTTCGGACGATCGTCACTGCTCTTTTCAATTTAGAATCTGATACTTACAAGTTAAGAAATCTTATCACTCTCGGGTCTATAAGTTTTCTTAACAAATTTTATCAATACAAGTGACCAATTTATAAAATAAATGAGGATCCGATAAAAATATCATCACAATTTTTAGGAATAAAAAAAGTTCTAAACAAAATCAAAATCACTTACTTAATTACTTCATATTGCAAGGAGAAAAAGAGAAAACTGCTCAAAACGCATGGGGATAACAAAACAAAACATTTTTATAAAACTTTAAATTCAAAGTACAAAACTTAAAGATAAAGATACAAGTACTTATCTTGAATGTTCCCCTAAGCACTCCTTTGAAGTTCTTTGAATTCTCTGACTCCAATAGCATTTACAAGGCTCACAAACTCCAAAAATAACAATGACTCACAAAGAAAATTTCTCACACATTTAACACACTCACACACTATGTGACTCTATATATCCGACTCTCCTAGCCTCTTAAAATTAATTCATATTTATTGAGCTTCAAAAATGACCAAGGGTTGTTTAAGACATCTCTTCAAAATTTGGGCTCATTCAATGAATCTTCTAGAAAATAACCGTGGTGCCTAGGCGTCAAACCGTCACACCTAGGCGCCAGCCAAGTTCTGTACATGACGCCTGGGCGCCAGTTCTGTCGGTTTGCATTTTTTTCTTTAGTTTAGCCCGTTTTGCTATCTTTTGATGCATTTTTGCTTATTTTTTACTCTTAGGATGTGTTTGGGGCAACTGCAGCTTATGGAATAATTTGCTAATAAGCTGCTTAAAAATAATCTGCTGATAAGCTAGGTGCGATGACTATTACAAATCTTTATTTTTTTTGAAAAAGTCAAACCGCAATCAGAAACCTACCACCGCACTTAGATAGATGTGGTGTGAAAACACTATTTTCAACGTTTTGAAAACGCATAAGCTGTTAAAACGCTGTTTGCCCAAACATGTCAGGTGCATTTTCAAAACGTCACCGCACCAAATAAACTGCCCCAAACAGACCCTTAAACTCTTTGTCTTGAACCTGCAACCAAAAACATAAAAATATATTTCATTAAAGCATGATATCTTCAAAATTTAAGCATAACGTATGCATAAAAATAGATAATTTTTAATGGTGGATCAAGAGTGCGTCAATGAAGGGGTTACTCTTCAGAAAAAAATGTGCATTCAGGGATTGAGAGCTTTTGTGACTCTGATTGGGTTAATTGTGCTAATGACAAGAGGTCCACATCAGGATACTGCATATTCGTAGGGGGCAATTTGGTCGCTTAGGCACCACTGTAGCTGCGAGGTCGACAACAGAGGCAGAGGCAGAGTATTGGGCCATGGCCTTGGCCTAGATGTTATGGCTGAGAACTCTATTGATAGAGATCAAGCTAGACCAATGAGCTCAAATGAAGTTGTGGTGCAACAGCAAGTCAGCAATCAGCATTGCCAACAACCTGGTGCAGTACGACAGAGCCAAGCATGTGGAGATTGATAATTTCTTCATCAAGAAGAAGTTGAAGAGTGGACTACTAGAGATAAGTGATGTAGCTGCTTTAGAGCAAGTAGTTGATTGCTTCATCAATGGACTTAGCTCATTAGGTCTATCCAGGTTGTTTAACAAGATGAGATTAGTTGATATCTTTTGCCCATCTTGATTGGGAGTGTTGAGAATTGTATACAGTTTTGGGCCCTATTTGTAAATGGGAAATATAGAAGAAGTCGAGGTTTTATTTGTAAGAAAAGTTGTAAGGCTCTATATAAGCCCAATTCTTCTATAAATAGATTAATTTTTTTAGCAAAATCATTTCAATTATACCTATGCATTAAAATGTGTATTTCATTTTTAAAAAGTGGTAGTAGTACTTTTTTATGTGATATTAGTGGTTTGAGTGATATTTCTGTGAATATGAAAGCTTAGGTGTGAGATATGTAAGTATATTAGAATTGTGTGCCATCATGTATATAAATGCCTCTAAATAAAATCTTAGTCTGCTCACCAATCTGTGTTACTCACCTTTCCTTTCTTCTTGAGTTAGCTCTTATTCATTGTTGAAAAATTCAAACAGGAAGTTCGAAGACGTGGCCTTCAAGTTTCTGTTGTTGGAATTCCTAAGACAATTGACAATGACATTATGGTACTACATACTTAAGGAAGATTCACATGCATACCACTTAATTCCTGTGTAGTGATACATCTTACACCTATACTTGCAATTTTTACATATATGCCACCTTGCCTGTGTATGAAAAAGTTGTATTCACAGTTTAAAAGGTTAAAATAGTGATATGTGATGGGAAAGATTTGGTGGCATAAATGTAGAAGGTAAAGTTTCGGCGTTAGATATGTAAATACCTAGGAATTGGGTGATATGTATATAAATGCCCCTACTTAAGGAAAACATTTTGCTATTGGTTTGATCTCAGGTTATCGACAAGTCCTTTGGGTTTGATACTGCTGTGGAAGAGGCTCAGCGGGCCATAAATGCAGCACATGTAGAAGCTGAAAGTGCCGAGAATGGCATTGGCGTGGTGAAGCTTATGGGCCGCTATAGTGGTTAATTTCTAATCTTCATATAGAACCAAAATAATCATATATTATACATCTGAAATAAATGATTCCGTTCCTGAAATTGTTCAATTCTGAAGTGGAAGTTTTCTTTCTGATGAATATCTTGATTATTATAATTTTTTTGTTATTGCTGTAAAGTGTTATACGTTTATTTAGGAAGATTTATATGCATACGACTCAATTCCTATGTATTTTTACGTCTAACACCTAAACTTTAATTTTTGCATATGTACAACGTTACCTATGCATGAAAAGGTGTATTTATTTCACTTTTTAAAAGTTAAAATTCACTTTTTAAAAGTTAAAAGGTGGTATTTTTGATGTGATATGAAAGAATTGGGTGGTATAATGTAAAAAGCAATGTTTAGGTGTTAGATATGTAAATACTGGTAAAATTTTCTTAAGCATTTCCCTTGATGCCTTGATGATGGCTCCTCGGAACTCACTAAGGGTCAGGGAGATCTCCCTAACTTCTAAGTTCTATCCTTTTTCAAGATGAATAGCTAATTATAGTTTTTAAGAAGGATATATTGGCCTTTATCTAGAATATTATTTATTATTATCAGCAAAGGACAATTTAGGTTCAACCTCACAGAAACAAACCATGATTTGTTGGCTCTGCTCCAGGGCAATTTTAGCTATCTATAACAATTTGAATTTACCACGTCTTAGATACTGAGATTTCTTAACTCTGAGTCTATAGGTGACGATGGATAACAATTGGATTGAAGAGAATAATTCTGAGAAGTTTTGTTGCCTCATTTTTGAAGTAACCGGAAAATGGTGACAATATCTCTTCAAATTTAAATGGGCAGATTCATCTTTTCTAGGAGTAATTTGCCGCAAATAGCAGCTCTAAGAAGTTTGAACTCTAGAACGATTTGTCTGGTAAGATGCGCATAGGTACACTCTAAGGGAATGGGCAGACTGTTCTCTACAAAGCATTTCAGATGAGAGTAATCTAGCGGTCACAAACTTTGGAGTTCGCTCTGGTTAGATCAGTTCAACTCAGGCTGTCTTTTCTGTGTAAACCAGCTGGTTCATTGGTCTTTGGATGTCTGAATATGATAATTTTAGCTTATAGCCATTGTTAGATGGGGTTTTCAAGAACAGTCTCCAATTTGATTTTTATTGAGAAACTGTCAAAATGATCCCCTGACTATTTGTAATAGATCATTTTAGTCACACAGTCTGTAAACGTATTGATTTAGTCCCCAAACTCTTCTAGTATGAGTTGAAATAGTCTACAATAATGACTATTATAACCATTAAAAGAGTATGTGTACTAATTGGACGCCTATGTAAATAGTCAAATGGTTATTTTGACACTTTACTCAAATTTTATTAAAAGTAGTTCTCTTTTTTAATTTTTTCTGTCAAATTAACTCAAAGAGCATTTTTTATATTCCAAAATTTAATGTTTGTTTACTGGTTCCAAATGTGCAGGTTTCATCGCCATGAATGCTACACTTGCTAGTAGAGATGTGGTAATGCAAATTTTTACAATCATACACACAAATCTTTCATTCTCCATAAAAAAAAATACTATTATTTTAACTTTTAAAAAGTGAAATACATCTTTTCTTACATAGGTACGATGGTACAGATGTAAAATATTAAAGTTTAGGTGTTAGATATGTAAATTCATAGGAATTGAGTGCTATATATGTAAATATTTGTTGTTATTATTATTATTATTTATTTGTATCTTTCCAAGGTGGCTGATGTAGTTACAGGTTTTTTATTTGTTGGTCCCTTGTAGGACTGTTGCCTGATTCCAGAATCACCCTTTTACTTAGAAGGGAATGGTGGGCTTTTAGAGTACATAGAGAAGCGGATTAAGGAAAATGGTCACATTGTTATTGTTGTTGCTGAGGGTGCGGGCCAAGATCTTATTGCTGAGAGTATGAAAGAGGCAGAACATGATGCCTCTGGTAACAAGCTGCTTTCTGACGTCGGACATTGGTTATCTCAGAAAATTAAGGTACGCTACTGCCTCGGATTATTGTTGGATGCTAATAAAATTATGCTAGTCATCAACAGAATCTTTGTTTGTTTGTTTTTTATTTTTATTTTTAATGCAGGACCACTTCACAAAAAAACGCAATATGGTCTTAAATCTCAAATATATAGGTATAAAAATCTCATCCTCTAATTTGTAAAAAAAAAACAAATCCGAAACTTTTTTAATTGATGGCATGCAGATCCCACATATATGATCCGTGCTATCCCCAGCATTGCATCAGACAATGTTTATTGCACACTGCTGGCTCACGGTGCTATCCATGGTGCCATGGCCGGCTATACTGGCTTTACTGTTGGGCTTGTCAATGGCAGACATGCATATATACCCTTCTATGTAAGCATATTTTATTTTTCTTCCTTCTTTTTAATGTTTTTACTTTTGTTATTAGGTATAAGTGTCAAAATAGTCCCTGACTAGTTGCAGAGGATCATTTTAATTTTAGAGTTTATAAAAATGGCAATTTGGTCCCTAAATTCTTTTAATATGGGGACTATCTTAGCCACAATTTAATATATATATATATATATATATATATTATTTTTATTTATTTATTTTTTTTTTTTTTCTCACAATAGTTTTAAATTGATTTAAAGGACAATTGTAGTACTCTCAAAAGGAATTTATATGTTACAAATTATTAGAAGAGAATTTAAGAGTTATACTTTCATAATATACATAATTAATTTTTTTCCTTTATATGTAATGGGTGCAAGAACCATCCCAGCATCTATCAGATTCCATCACTTATATTTTCTTCAGTATTACTGGAAATATACACACATACCACACAATTCTTATGCATTTACATATCTAACACCTAAAGTTTGATATTTACCTTTATAACATTTTGGTATTAAAATCTTATGAATGAAGACGTGATTCACTTTTAAAAGGTTAGTGATAGTGGTATTTTTGATGTGAAGTCAAAGATTTCATTATTATGTATGTAGATATGAAAGTTGTGGGGTTAGATAGATACGTAAATATACATAAGAATAAAAAACAATGTTGTGAAGGAATAAGGAATATTGGTGATTAATTTGTTGAAATTAATTTTCAGAGGGTGGCAGGATCACGAAACAAGGTTGTGATAACTGACAGAATGTGGGCGAGGCTTCTGTCTTCAACTAACCAGCCCAGCTTCCTGTGTTCCAAAGTCGTAGAGGATGCCAAGACGGTTAACAATACCCCTTCCAAGGTGGATTGAAACAAGACAAATTATGTGTCCAACCGCTTTTATTATTCTCATGTTTTATTTATGAATCCGTCTTTCTAAATAAGATTGCTGTATAGTCAATCAGATTTTCCTATGCATTACTAATCTTAGATGCTATTTCAATATGATGAACATTCTTCAGTTAAATTTAAGCATATTTGGAATTTAAATTTGAGATGTTTATAGTCAAATTATAATGTTGATGCTCCAAAGTCTCAAATCTAATTATAAGAGCGGACTTTTGCAATGTCATGTACATAGTGAATTATTTTAACTAGTTTGGTGTTCCATGTTCAGTTGTAGCGGTGGTTTATGGCGGGCAACAAGTGATTGTGGCTAATATTTTACAAAATTAGTTTATTTAAAATTCACCTAAAATCAAATGAATTTCAAATATATTAAATTGAAATGGAATGGGAATTCCCAAATGTATTTAAATTTTACGCTATTTATTTTTTCCTCAAACCAAGCGTTAGGATTTCTAAATATCTTGAATTCCTTTTTCCAATGCACTCATAGCATCATCGATATACAATCGCTAAATATGGTCTAAAATTTAATTTCAATAAAAGTATTCCTTAAAATTTATAAAATAATAGATAGAATTAAGGTCTCAAATTTAATTTATTTAATAAAGTTAAGATATATTTTTATTTAAAAGAATATATCACACAATTCTTATGCATATACATGTCTAATGCCTGAAATTTGATATTTATATATTTAGCTCTTCGGTGGCACAAATCTATATGCATGAGAATTTGTATATTTTAGTATGTGAAGTTAAAAATTTGAATGTTATCCATGTAAATATTACAAGTTTTAGACATATAAATACATGAGACATATATGTTGTCCATATTTAAAAATAACAAACAGCATTTATCAATCCATTTACTAGTAACTACCAAGGCTATGGGCATCCATAATCCTTTTTATAAATCCATTTACTATTAACTACCAAGTTCCCTTTTTTTTTTTAAATTTACGTACGTACAACATAATTTTTATATATTTATATATTTTATACTTAAATTCCGGCTTTTTGTATTTAAAACATTTTAGTAATACATGAAAAATTTAAATTTCATTTTTTAAAAAAATTTAATAATAGTAATATTTTTGATGTGTTATTAAAAATTTAAATATGATAATTTAAAAATAAGGTGTGGAAATATTATGTACTATATAAATAAATATATTTGAGAACGGACCTTCGAAAAATTCACCTGTGGGTGGAAGCCGCTGGGATAGGCAAGAGAAGCTTCGTTTATTCGTCTTCCTCTTCCTCTTCCTCTTCCTCTTCCTCTTCCTCTTCCTAGGGTATGATTAATTCTTTCTGGAATTTTTTTTCTTTAATTATCGTTTCTTTTCCGCCTTCTGGACTCTTCATCTTGATCTACAGTATTTTATTCGGCCCCTCAAACGTGTCTTTACCTTCCCTCTGTGGTGCGCCGATTTAGGGTTTGTCTTCCTCCTAGCATTTGCTTGATTCTTGATTTCACCGAACTTGTTGTGGAAGGGGTATATCTCGCGCCAAGTACAAATCCTCTGCTGATAATTCGCCGCCTAGTTTTAGTTTTTTCTTCTGTTGTTTGCTATCTTGGGCTTTTAATAGGAGAGTATTTTCTTTGATTGGTGTCTTTCAATTTCATCACTGCCTGCTTATTACATTTTGATTTTTCTTTTTGTTCCTTTGGATATGTAACTATTGATGTTTGTGGATCTGCTCTATGGTATTTATTATTAATTTGTTTTTGTATCTGTAGTTTTCCTTTATATTGTTTTGGTCCAGCTCTTGTTTGCTCATCCGACGATGTTCCAGTTTTTGCGCGTTTTTCATGGCATTTAATTTATTTTTGTTTTTGATTCTCTTAGCTAGGTATTAAACGTGAGGTTGCTGAGACCTTGGTTTATAGGAATGTTTTTTGACTGCTTTATTCTTTCTTGGATTTGTTAGGTTTTCTTTGTGCCTTTGTAAAATGACCTGAAAATATGCCAACAATCCAAATAAGCTCAGGTGATCTTGATGCTTTCTGAATTTTATATGAGAACTGTCTGTGTAATACTTTTTATATTTAAGCTGTGATGCTGTGCAATATTCATCTTTAATGTCTTTTGTTTCTTCTGAGTGCATGCATCTTTAATTTCATGTTTGATTAGATCAAGCACTAATCAGATGGGCAAAATACTTGTGATAGATGTTTCATGAGATGCTTTTAATATTACATTATCTAAGCACTGTGTTTGGGCTTTGGATACCGGAAATTTGGTTGGAGGAAATTAGAAAAAAGCCGAAAAAACTCATAATGCTTGTATATTATTATTCAGGCAAAAAAGCATTGAGATCTTATTGTGTTTCCTTCACTTTTCTTCAATCCAAATTAAGCTCAAGTTGAAATAAGATGGTAATGCTTTAATGTTGCTTTACTAGTTGAAAGCCAAGGATTTGCCCTTTTCTTTTAGTGAAATTCTATCGCTAACTATGGATGAATATGAAAGTAAGAATGGAGTAAAAGAGAGATAGAATAAAAGAAGCTTTTTATTTATCTTTTAATGGTGTGTATGATTCATGAATTTATTGTTTAATATTTTATAACTAAAAAATAAAATCAAACATTCAAAAAATTAAAATAAATTCAAAAAATAAAATTCTCTAACTATATGATTCATAATCTCTCTCCAAAGTAATTGTACAAACCTATAAATCGAATAGAATGAGATTTCAAGATAAAAAATATAAGAGGAGACTCGGCATAGGGCTTCAACAAAGACAAGCAAATAAATCAGTGTGGGAAACGAAGAGTAATGATAAATGGTAGGAGATTGGGGATATATAGTAATATAGATGTGATGAGTGCAGCTTGGTTTTTAGTTTTTTTATGTTTCCATTGCTTCTTGAAGATGAATCATTTTTTTATGGGACTTAACATATCATATTAAAATAAACATGTTTTTCTTCATATTTTTATGTAAACGGATAGGAAACATTTTTATAATAAGTCAAAATTTTAGAAATTGGTTAACTTAATTTAAGTTCTATCAAGGTACTGGTGTCACACTAACTGCGCATATAAAGAGATCCATAACCACCCAGGATTCTACTTTGACTAGTATGCCAAATACCTCCCTTGATTATTTGGGATGATTTTACCCTTATATGTCCTGAGCTGAATTCCTAATGAGCCCTAATATGTCATGTAAAACACTTGATGGGAAAAATGAAGAAACTTTGTGTTGTGAAAGATATAGTTGAAGTTTGTATATGTATGCACTCCTTTTTTTGCATTGAAATACTAGGATTGGAGGTAGTCTGTTTCTTCAAATTCACCCGTCAAAGGCTGTCATAAAAGGTCTGCATTAGGATAGATAAGTTTATTTTAATCATGGATAGGTGTAATTATAATTGCAATTTCAATTTATGCAATTTTGATTGACATCCATCTTCATTTTAATTTAACATGAGAACTAATGTACTGCCATCTGAATCGGTTTTTCATTATGATTAAGAGTTATTTGATTAATATTTGTGGTATCCACGTAGTGCTTCTAGTATGTGCCTTTCGTCATAATGAAAAAAATGCATGTTCAACCATTGAATAAATCTTGTTCCCAATGTTAAAGAACTGTTACATCTTTCCTCCAAAAGAAAATTTTCTTTGCACATCTTTATCACCCATTCGTCTTTCATTGGAAGCAATCACTCATAATTATGAGGAATATATTGAAAAAAATTGCTTTGACCTTTTGCTTTGAATGGGAATCAATGATTTGACAACTTGAATTCATTTGGGCCTTTTAGCATCTACTATTTTTCTTAATAATATAACCATATAAAGACATGAGTACACATAAGTTTATCACAAAGAATTGCTAGATTATAGTATAAAAACTAAAAACACTTTTTATGATTGTTAGTATCTACCAGCATATATGAAATTTATTGTTTTCTATTTATTCTATTATTTTGTGGCGGAAGGCTCTTGCCCCCTTTAAAAGCATCATCTACATACCTATAAATTACATTCATTTGATTTTCGTTGTTTGGCTTTGATTCATTTTTTTGATTCTTAAGTACATTTTTATTGCATTCATTTTCTTGAGTTTCATTTTTTAGATTTTTGTAAGAATGTATTGTCAAAATTATTGAGAGCCTTTTAGCAACTTTCATCTGAGTAGTAATTTGCATATGTTCAAACTATTTTAATAATCTATTTCTTCTTTTTTATCCCATTAGCCTATATGGATTTGCTTCCACTTTATCTTATTTCTCCTGCTGTCAAATATGTGTTTTGATTGATGTCAAGATAATGATAACTCTGTTGAGTTTTTGTTGGTTTTAACTTGTTCGAGGTTTTTTTTTCTTTAATGCTTTTACTTGTGCTTTGAAGGAGAATGGTATTCAAATATAGCAAAACTGAGGGGGGAAGAAAATCATTGGTTGATCCCAATTTTTTTATTTCGCAAGTAATTTCTTGTGATACATTCTAATTGTGTCTATTTACAAAACTAGTACTAAACCACTTATATTTATAATAATTCCATCCAAATATTGATGGGCCAAACAAACCTATAGCCTATTTTTTTTCCTTATGCAAAATTTTCAATGATGTGGGCGTAGCATAATGCGGGTTTACTTTTTGTTTACTTAAGTGTTAGATATATAAATTATGAATATTTGCGTGATATGCATATGAATCTTTTTTAATTATTTTAAGTGAGGGAGGACTAGTTGTGCATGGTTAGTTAAAAACCTCTTTCTAAGAAAGGAAAGGGGGTTGGTAGCGAAATTGATATCAGGCTTGTCAAGGTCTCAGATAAGTTCATATTTTTAGAAGCTTCTGGAGGGGGTGTAGAAAGTTCAAAGAAGGTTCAATCATTAAGCATCAATCTCAACTAAAAAAGGCTTATACATAGGGTGAAATTTAGCAAAGATGTGGTGAAGTTTTAAAAAAATGTCAAATTTAATTTCAAAAATTGGGGGGACAACTAAAGGCTAAACTCATGGAATAAAGGGGAATATCTAATTTTATCACCTAAGAAAGTGGAGATAAGAAAGTAATCCAAAATTTAAAGTGGATATGTTAAAAAGGAAGGGTGTAGCTCGTAATGGAAGAGAGACTCAAAGAAAATCAAAATAATGCTCCAATTATCATTCCACAATCCCTCGTTTTTGTTTATCAACATCTTGAGGAGGATGAATATGAATTTAAATTCATGGTTTATGCTGCTTTGTTGAAAATCAATTCAATAAAATGTAATTAAATAATAAAAAAGGTTGGTATCTTATCTCTCAATCTAGTCTTACACTCTCACCCTCTCTCCCTTTCCAAACTCTGGAAAGACTGATAAGGAATAAATGGGAGGTTGAAATGTTAAAATTGAGGCACAATGCTCCATGTAAACTTCTCTCTTTCAATTTTTGGCTTGGAATACTCTATTTCTCTTGTCATTTGAGAGGTTATAAAGGATTAAATGCAAGAAATCCTGTGTTCTTTATCATCAATTTTGTAGTAAATCCACTTGTCATTATCTTGAAAGTTTCTCATATGGTTATTGTATTGATCTTAGGAGAAAGGATTACGTTTAGGTTCTTCAAGGTACCTTAGGTTGCATAAAAATCCTATTAGTTTTATAGCATTATGCGTCATTATTCAAGAGCCAATTGATAACATGATACAATTTTATTATGTAAGCTTATAGGCCAATGGCGCGTGCCTGCAATGGCTACCACTTTTAAAGACTGAAAACTTGCCACAACAGGCCATTCACATCAGATGGAGGGCTACATCACACTGTAAGAAGGCAATGCATCAGCTTAGCTCCAATTTGGATTAACCTTGTTTTTTAATTGTCTATTATGGGTATACCACACCCTGGAATGGATTCTTTAAAGCTTTTGTGCAACTTTGTTTTTAATCGAGAATGATTAATATAAACAATGGATCATATATCTAAAATAGCCGGGGATGAATTATACTTGGATTTCTATACCAAGTTATAATATCTGTTTGGTTGGGGAGAACCGTAGAGGTTCAACTAATGGTTATTTCCAGGGGTAAACGAGCATAAAGGTGGGTCATTGTGATCTTATGGGCTCTCCAAATCTTGATTCAACTGACATGGCATGAAATTTTTATGAGCAAATAAATATAAAATTTAGGAATGCCAAATTAAGCACCAATTTCACATCATCTCAGGATTTTTAGAATGTAAGACTCATTTTCTACTTTTGACTGAGGTTAATTAAGGGAAGGATTGATTGCAAGGAATTCTAATTGAGGCTTTAATGTGAAATTGTATGGTAGTGTACTCTTATTGATCTACTTATCATTTTGAAGGATTCTTATATGGATATTGTATTGATCTTAGGGGAGATCATAGGAACTCTTGGCTTTCCTAGAAACTTAAATTCCTTCAAAAAATATACAAAGCATAAAAAAAAAAATTTCGTTTCTTAGTATTTTATATCATTAGTCTCGATTTAATTTGATATAATAATTTCATTGTATTATGCTGTCAGATTAATTCTAGATCATTCACCTTTAGGATTCAATATCATTGTCACGAGTCAATCTAAATCAAGATAAGAAACTTGCAAGATTAGCAAAGATGTTTGCTCAAAAGATGGAATAAATAATCTCGTCTGTTGAATAGTTTCAAAAGGTCCACGTGGATAAAATGATTGGGTCGCACCAGATTCTGGAAGACGGAATAAGAACCAAAGAGGACCAGGGAAAATTGACACATGAACTAATGGATATTCAAGAGGTCCATCTTTGAGAAGACAATTATATTATTTTGGTGTCGAAAGAGGTTGATTAATTAGAGGATGAAAATGAATTAAAGAATTGATAACAAATTGAAATTGCAATACCAACTTGAGATAATATTTGCCAAGGGAGCAAGAAGGCACAAAACTTTTATTAGTCCATTTTTGTCATGCAAGTAATTTTTTTTAATTTCCTTATAAAGCAAATAGATGCATATAAATATAGTTTGTACCTAGAATTGAGAATCAATTGGATACAATTCAGTTGAATTCAATTGGCAAAAATGATTCTTCTATTTATAATATGTTTTTAATTATTTCAGTCAAGAAGCAGTTCCAGTGCGGCTCAAAGGTTCCAAGGCACACTTCTTTTTTAGTATAAGGTAAGCACGTTGGGCACATTTCTTTTCCTTTTTGGGTTTTTCTGTTGTTTTATATGTTTGGATGTACATAGTTCAGTACACTCAAGTAGGAATTAGTCAAATGGTAATGTTTAGGTGATGTTGTTGTGTTTAAGCAATAAACCAGGGGACTATAAGCTTGCAACCGAAATTCTTGCAAATTTTTGCTTCTACGATTTTTTATGTTAAGAACAATGCAGAAGAATGAACGGGACATTATCTTTAGCTATGAGAAAGGAAATTTACGAAAATGTCTTTTTTTTTAAATGATTATCTGCATGAAATTGGTTTAATTGACTTTCATTAAAACATATTCCCAGTGATTAAAGAAAGTTCTTTTATAATCATTTTAATTTCAGTGCTTTGTTTTTTTAATTGTGGAATGAAGACCTTTATTTGTCCATGTTGCAATCATATACTGGAAACAGAAGTTGTGGGTTTGTACTTTTGATCTTAGCTTTAATTCCCTTTTTGATATATAAATAGTTGTATCCCTTGATTTGTATTATTCTTGTATCTTAACTGAAATCATTCTGCTTTAAATTGGTTGATAATGCCTTTATGGAACGATTTCAACTCTTTTTTATATGTAAATGCTTTTTTTTAAATGTTATTTCACATTATTTTTGCCAACTCTGATTACTTATTTATCAATGATCAATGTCTGATACATGTAAAAAGTTTGGATTAGAAGATTCTAAAGAGAACGATACTCAAAATTATTGGATTTTTTAATTTGTTTTGAGATCCATAATATACTTTTGCACTCATCACAAAGCAAATGCAATGTTGACTTATGATTCCCTCCGCGTATGTGCGGATTTTTGATTATGTAAAGCTGATGATAATATAGCTAAATTTCTTTTTAATTATATTAATTATGGTTTGCGAGGTGAGCCTCCGTTGAGTTTAATTCCCATTTATTATTGTGTTTCAATAACTAAAATTGTTCTCTCTTTTGTGAGATGCACTTCCTTGCATCATTTCACGATAATGTAGGTGATACATTTGCTTTTAATATCATCATAAAATGGATGCCAAGAAGTTCATTCAATTGGTCGAAGAGAAGAAGAAGAGGGTTTTGGAGAAGAAGGAAGCTCCTTTGAAATGGGAACAGAAATTAGAAACTGCAGCCAAAGCAAAAGCTGATGCTGAAGCAAAGGTGAGAAAGACCAAAAGGTGGAGGAAGGTCTCAGACACCGAAAGCAGTGATGTTGCCCGGAAACAATCCAAGAGCAGATCGAAGAGACACCGGAAGCACGACCACTCTGACTCTTCTGATGACAGTGGGAAGGTGGAGAAGAAACACAGATACCGGTCGAGGAATGGTGATGATTATGACACAGATTCGGAGCGAGGGAGGAAGAAACATTCAAACAAAAAGAGGTTTCGCCATTACCCTTCAACGACATCGGATTCTAGTAGCATTTCTGAATCAGGCAGCGAGTTTGAAGAAGTTAGAGCTCGACAGAGAGGACGCACTAGGCATCACAATAAACATCATGGCCACCGGGTGTCTAGCAGCGATGACTTGAGTCCTGATTCTGATGATTTCAGAGATGAAGACTATGACAAGCCTAGAAACTCAAAAAAAGCTGCTCTAGCAGCGATGACTTGAGTCCTGATTCTGATGATTTTCCTAAGAATAAGAGCCGAAGCGGATTGCTGGGTAAGTTGTCTGATGATTTCAGAGATGAAGACTATCACAAGCCTAGAAACTCGAAAAAAGCTGCTCCTCGTCGTCGTCATCATCATCATCATCGAAATCATCATGATTATGACTATCAGGATGGGGATAGTGAAGATCTTGCCGGTATGAAAGGGAAGGATTGTGGTCGTGAGTCTGATGGCTGAATGGTTTATCTGGTTGTTCAATATTTAGATGTCTTATCTTAACAATTTGGAGATGATAAACACATGGATCTGTGATCTTCTGATATCTGATTAGTCATGCTTTAGCATACAAGTTGAATTACATAGTCGATCTCTTTTTTATTATTATTTGGTAAAAATGAAGAAAAAGAAGGAACATCTGATCAATTTTTTTAGAGCATTATATTTATTTAGAGATGAATGCAAAACATTAGTAATCAGGTAAATTTGTATTGAATTTATCTCAAAAAAAAAGTTGCTATCTTGCACGTTATATAGCACATTAAAGTGTCCAGGACCGTTAAAGCAGCAACGATTAATTAGAAATCAACTAATAGTATATTAAAACAAAATTTCTGTCAAATAATTTTTCGTTCAATTTTTATTCTTGACAATTATTGAGTGAGCGAGCTTAATGTTTACCAAATGTCAGATTTTAATATAATTTTTTTGGTGGAATTATAGCTAATCGCTGCTTTTAGCAGTGCTGGGGACTTTATTTATGCTGTAGCGATGCAGGAGAGCGACTCATAACTCTCAATGCTATGGTAAACAGGATGCGTGGAGAATTCAATTCCTATGCATGCAACCGGGGGACATATAGTCACTATATTATGATATTATTAAGGTGGTACGTCCCTTCAATAACCATCTTCTCTTTAATTATAAATTCAATGTGTTAATATTTTGCCAAGGTTGAAAAATTAAAAAGAGAACCCACGGTGGCAGGATATGCAAGGTCATAAGAACTGTGTGCCATGTAAAAGACCCAAAAATAAATTGTACTTCCCATCTATAAGCAATCAATTATATATCGATAGAAAAAATCGGGTGTTAATTTTTTTGTTTCAAGATAAGAGTATATTTTACTTCTTAACAAAAATAATAATATTAGGTATTTCAGCATTGTAAAAAAAAAAAAAAAAAAAATGGTAAACATGAAAGTTTACGGGTCCAACATATAAATAAAAAATTAAATGCCCGTTTAAAATGCTACATTGGCACTCAGGATAAAATTTGAAGTTAATATCTCACCTTTGATGAAGCGCTCAATTTCTATTTCGCCATAAAAGCAGCTATATACGTTTATCAGAATTTGAACCAGTTATGCTTTATTTAAATTTCAGTTAATTAATAAAAATAAAAATAAAAAAAATCAAAAAATGAGGAGATTTGGGAGCATTAAAACTCATTTATTGCCTATAGATTATCAATGATCATAAACTTTTCGAAGAAATTTCAACAGCAAATGCTAGAAATGTTGGAAGTCAAGCCACACGTTGGATTCAAAATGCACATTTTCATATGATGAAATCGCATTAAATGTCACTTCATTATGAACACTAGGAGGGCGATTAAGCATAGCTAGAAAAGTAAAATTTTAAGAAATTATGAAGTAATATTATTCTTTCTCATTGGCCAAAAGATCGTTTGAAAAAACATGATTTGCATAAAACTCAATATAAAAAAAAATTCTACAAGATAAAAATTTCTAAAAGAATAACAAATCGAAGTTTGGTAACACCATATAAAATAACATTTTGAAAAATTCCCTCTCAAATGAACCTAAATCTCTAAATGAGAAGCACCAAACAAAATTAATTTACCATAATATTGCATCAACTTCAATCATTTATTTAATTTTTCCACAAAAGTTCAAGTAAGGGAAACATTAGAAGACTAATAAGAGAATTTAATAGAGATGAACAGAAGACAAATAGGAATATTCAAAAACACTGAATTAAAATTCCAAAACAAATACAAACATTTCAAACGTAACTATTAAATACTAGGTTCAAACATATTCTGCAAAAAAAGTCAAAATACAACATGAAAATTTCATGCTGTTAGTTCATCAAAATTCAGAAGGAACAAAACCCACAAGTAAAATAAGACGAGTACTTCTTTTTTCATACGGTTTTAATATTGTGAGATTCTCCAGACCCGGATGTTACCGTCTGTGTATCCTGCATATAATGTACTTCCATCGAAGCTCCAGCTCAAGCTTGTACAGTACAGCAACTGCGATAAAAAATAACAAATTAAAAAAACATATATAAGTACATTGATAATATTAAGATCCTGCTACAGTCGCATAAACGAAAGAGTGAACATGGATTCAGAACTCCCCCCAACCAAAATCACAAATCATTCCTGCCAAGAATTTCATAAAACTTTATAACGCCAAGAATATCCTGATCAAACTACCACATGGATATTGAATAATATTTTGGGCCATTTTCATATGTGCCACCCAATTCTTATGCATTTGCATATCTAACACCTAAACTATGTTTTTTTTTTTCTTTTACATTTATACCACCCAAATATTTTATATCACATCTAAAATACCACTAATTTATTTTTTAAAAAGTGAAACAAACCATTTCATGCATGGATAAAGTAGAATTATGTATGTACGAGGCACGCGTGTGTGCGCGCGTGCGTGCAAAAATTGAAAGTAGATGTTAGGTATGTAAATATAAAAGAATTGAGCGGTATGTATGTAAATCTTCCTTATATTTCATGTTACACTCATAAATCCATCGGTTCTGACAATAGAAATGTTGGTCAGATGTCTTAAACCAAATTTTAGTAAAGAATATACACTATAGAAAAAAAAACTCTTTCAAAATATTTGCAAATATGTTAAAAACTGAGTGGACCTCATCAAGGACAAAATTTGGCGTTGGCCAGGTAGGAATTTGTTCACGATGATCCAATTTATTAAACAGAGACATGCAAATTCAGGGGTTTCAGGTTTTGGGATCTTCTGAGGTTTTAACAAGCTTTTTTTTTTTCTACATAGCTTTGGGTGTAGGTATAATAAATTGACAGAGGTAGTTAGGTACTAGATTTATAAACATGTAATATTTTAATTTTACACAGAGGATTGCCTTAACATCCGTCCTTTCACATTATGCCCACCACATAAAACCATTGCTTAACCTCCTTAATGAAATCAAGGTCATGATAAACCAACAACTAAGTATAAATTCATAATACTTTATTTCTTAAAGTAAAATAAAAATGATCATCATTTTATTAAAGATAATTTTGGACGACATGAGAAACCAACATGAGGAATAGGAATAAGAATGCAGAAAAAAAGGCATCAAAGGAAACAAAAGAAGCAGAAAAGGAGACTTTCTCTGTGCATTACAACAAATTTGAAAAGAAATTGCGATGGATAAAAAGAACTACAGCCAATGAGACAGTAACGGAGAACTCCTATGAAAAGATCATAAAGAAATTATAATTTTATGATGTGGTCCTGTAAGAGCCTAGAAGAGAATATTAAGTATCACAATTAAGTTTACTTTACAGGATTAATAAGAAGAAAAAGGAAAAAATACAATTACATGATAAACATGTCCCAGAATAACAAACTTAGCTTGAAATGATAAACAATAAGTGTACGACCAAAATAGACGTAAATCCACGTTGGTATTGGAGTTAAATTGGCATTTCACAGAAGAGAAGCCCTAATCTTATATTTAAAAAGAAAATTAAGATCTTTAATATTTTCATCCCAACTACAACAGCAAGAATTTCATGAATGCAGAAGCGGTGGATTGATGTGAAAGGTGGATACTGCAAAAGTGTATAACAACAACATAAGTCTTTATCTCGCCAAGTGGGATCGGATACATGAATTCTTTTCCTCCATTTTATTCTATTGGGTGTCATATTCATTTAATTATAATAAATTAAGATAATTTTTTATACAATATGACCAAGTCTTTTTAAGTCTACATCTATTTTCTTAACATAAGTGGAGACTTAAACATCTACTCTCCTAACCGAATAATCACAAGATCAACGTTAAATGTGACCAAGCCATCTAAAGATGACTCTCTATTCTTGTATGCCCCTGAAGCTACACCAACTTTCACGAATACATTTTTTTCGCATTTGACTCTAAGTGTCAAGCCACTCATCCACCTAAAGCATTCTCATCTCAGCAATACTTAGTTTTATGCGTCTCTTTTATAGGCCAACATTTTGCGCCAAAAAGCTTGTAGTTCTCACCACCATCTTTTAAAATTTTCCTTCAAGTCTAAGGAGTACTTTTTCATCACGCGATAAGCTTGATGCATTCCTCCACTTCAACCATCCAGAAAAAATTCTACTAATAACATCCTCATCTATATCACCGTCACTTTTAGCAAATAGACCCAATATATCTAAAACGTTCACCACTTTTAATGATTTGATCACTCATTGATATAACTAAACCACTAGACCTAGAACTACTAAAATTACATTCCATGTATTCAGTTTTAGTTCTACTCAAGCCTTTGGACTCTAATGTAGATATCCATAATTCAAGTATTTCCTTAACTTATTCTCTAGTCACATCCGCAAGAAGGATATCATCAACAAAAAATATACACCGAGGTACATCCTCCTGTAAATTTTCCTTGATGCAATCCCACTAAAATAGGAAAATACTTGGTCAATTCCTCCTCTTCAAACACAAATAACAGCTCTAGTATACATCTCTTTAAGGACTTGAATATAAATCATATCAACAATTTTCTTTTCTAAACTCTCCAAAAAAAACTTCTCTTGTACCCTTCTCGTAAACTTTTTCTAAATCAATAAAAATGATATGTATATCCTCCTTACTCTCTCCGTACTTTGCCATCAAAACTCTCAATAACTATATAACTTTCATAGTATACTAGCCCGACATAAATCCAAACTGATTGTGAGAAATTATTTATATTACATCTTAGCCTATATTATGAGAGATAACACAAAAGTACAAAATAATAAAAAATAAGAGAACAAATCGTTATACATAAAAAAGGTACAAAATGCTATAATCTAAGACTCAAAAAGACAAGGGTGATGGAGAATTCATCCATTATTAATGTTCAAATCAGTTTTAGAACTTTCATAACAAAGATTTTTTATTGCAACTTTCTTTGACCCAGAGATGTTGGAATTTGGAAAGCAAGGCTTTGGAAAGAATCCAAGATGGAAATTATCGACGGTAATAGAAAAGATGGAGAGCATAAATCCTAAACATTTTGGAGAGGAGAGAGTAGATGGAAGGAGAAGTAAACCAAAAAATCCAAGTAAAAAATTGTTGTAGATTTTATTTTGGTAAGGTACCAATAAATGACAAGAATGAGATATGTAAAATAATTGAAGAAAAAAAGAAGTAAACCTAAAATTTTAGATAGTTGGAAAAATTACTATGTTGAAGTTGATAGAATCTTCATTTAAAAAAAATGAAATCATCAAAAGAAAAAAGAAACAATATCAAAATAAGTTTTTAATAAATTTTCGATATAATAGACTACTAAAACAAGTGGATGAAGTTGACTTAATAGCCTAAGGCTAAGATCAAAATGATATATCTATTTATATTTAGAGAATTATATTAGAAATTTTAACAATGGTTCAAAAAAAAATTTTATCCAAAAAAAAAAACCAATAAATCAAAGACGCAGAGCATAGCTAATTAAGGGGAAAAAAAAGTTGATCGAGATTGTGTTAATTATTAAAACGCCTCATTTAAATCCTTACAATGAATTTTTAGGGGAAAAAAAGTTACGGGGTAAGATTTGTATATTTAATTGTGCTGGATTCAGAAAAAAACAATTTCCTTGTGCTAATAATATCCAGTATGGAAGCAATTTTTTTTTTAACAAACAATATTTATTCTAAAGTTGATAATATCTATAACTATTTTTATGATCGTTAAAAAAACAAAAGATTGATGACCACCAAATGGCTTGTCCCATGGCTTAGGATTGCTTTATTGACCAAAGTCTATGGCATTTAATGGATCAAGAAGGATATTATCACAAACATGCCATTCAACGAATCTAAAATGCCGGGATAATTTGAAACATAAAATGGAAGTCATGATTCAAGAGGGTAAAAAAAATGACATATTATATTGCATTGAAAGCTAGGCTGCATCAAGGAAAAGTCAATGAAGATTAGACTTCAAGACTAAAAACGAAAATGAAATAAAGAACAATGAGGACAATTACAAGACCTCGTGATAAACAGAGATTTAACATCAAGGTAAAATACCTTCTTACTACTCAGGTTTCTAACACTCAAATCTAGTTTATTAATTTTTTTTTTCTGGCAAAATTAAAGATTATTCTCCAAAATATATCCTACATTCAGAAGTTAATTTTGCATTTGAATTTAAATGATGCATGCAAATATCAATAAATAAGTTGCTTCTATTACAAAATTCTATCATTCTCTCTCCTGCCCAAACTCCTTTCCCCGTAACCATCCTAAGCCCCTCCATAAGTTTGAAATCTCTCCCCGCACTAAAGAACCAAAGGGCAAAACAGATTATACTACAACAAAGGACATCAAGAAAAGTTGATGTGGTAAAAACTGGTATGCTAATGTTAAATTATGTAAACTAACAATATTATCCAACATGCTAACTCAATAATAACTAATCTCATAAGCATCATCTTTACTACCTCAATAAAAATTCATCACATAAACAGCACCCTTCTTCTTAACCACAACTATAAACAAGCCTGATCGACCCTCAACAAACAAAAATCCATTGAGATACAGATACATATTTGCAAGAAACATAGATTTAATATCTACTGCAAAAGGACTAAAAATTGTTCAATCTACATTTAATGTCTGGAAAATACCACGTTTTCTTCTTGCTGATCTGTCAACAAATGTGTTTCCATTGGAAAATGAAAGCATGGCGGATAAACAAAATTAGGCCAGCGGAAACAAAATTTCAGGCGTTCATTACTGAATAAACCTGTTGTTGCCAAAATATTCAACATTAAAGAAACAATAAAATAGCTTTCTCAGACTGATGGTTTGAGTCTCAACTTCTTTATTTTTATAAGATGTGCTTGAGAAGGCTCAAGCAATAATTTAGTTAGAAGGAACTAAAAAACTATTAAGTAAGACTTAAAAAAGATTAGATGTTAATTAATTCAATATTAAGTAATAAAGTAAATATTAATTAAAATTATCAATTAAAGATCATTTAAGAAAGATTA